AAAATATAAAATATAATATAGAGCTAAAAATAAATATATACTAATATAGAAAAAAAAGTAAATTCTATTACAATACCTAGAACCTGTCTATAGGTTCTCTATTTAAATACTCTAGTTTTTGTATTATTTCTGTCTTACCAACTGCAAATTAACTACAAATATGCTATAATCACTAAGTCATATTTAACTTTGTACTAAGCCTACTAGAGCTTTCTGTATCTCATACTTATAGCTAACTTGGTACTACTTTTAACCTAGACTAATGTTTTAAGTGAAATTGTTTTTTTAATTTTAAAATATTTCAGATTTAATAGATAATCTAAAATAAAAATCCTAAATTCTGAATCCAAGATAAAAATCTAAAACAAATCTAATAAAATCTGATAAATCTGATAAATTCAATATTAATCTAATATAAAAGTTATATATATAATAACTAATTTAATATTATAAATATTAAACTACATATAGTTAAAAATATTAATTAAAATTAAACTATTGCTATTCTTGAATTAAAAATCAAACTATTATAAAACTAGGAGTAATATCAGAATAAAGAGTTTAAAAGTTATTAATTCAAGAACTTGAATATTTAAACCAATTTGATAAAAAAACTAAAGCATTGCTAATATAACAATTCTGATTAATTTGATATAGCAAAGAGTTTGATTATAATTTTTTAGTCTTTATTCACACATTGCATTATTTACTGTAAACATAATATATATATTAGAATCTGACATATACAGTATTGATTATTTAAAGGTTTGTTATCTTGAAACCTAATATATTTAATACAAATAATATTTAGTAATGATAAATCTTATATTATCAAAGATATAACTGATCTTTAACTTTTTTTTAATTTTAATATATGGAAAGCATATTGTAAAATTTATGCTACAGTCCTAATCTTACATCAAGTAAAGGTTATAAAAATATAAGCTTGAAGCATCAAATATTGTTAACAAGTCTTAAAAATTAGAAATACTTAATTAGCTTTAAAAAATTATACAATAAATATTAAATGCTAATCTTAATTAAATACTATATAAAAAACATAGTCTGAGCTGGTCTTAAGACCAGAAACTGAATAACTGTAAGAATGATCAAAAGGCTAATCCTTATTTAAAACTTTTTTTATTTTTTATTTATTCAGATAATTAATTAACAAAAAATGCTTTAGTCAACTAATTTTGAATCAAAAAAAATTTACATTTACTAAACTATATTCATTGAATTATTTATATTATATGTTGTTAATCTAACATTATATCAATCTCTTTTTCTGAATCCTAATTTTTCTTATCAACATTATTTTTAGCATTACTATTCTGATAATTAATATTTTCTTCTTTAGAAGACTCAAAATTAGTATCAAAAATTATTTTATCTAAACTATTTGTAAAATTAGCTGCATCAATATTTAACAATTTTTCAATTTTAAGTGTTTTCTTTTCTGAAAACTTAAAATTTTGCATTTTTTTATTAGAAAGTTGTCTTTTTTTATAATTATCATTATTCTTACTAAGATTTAGATTAGATAAAGCTTTATATATATCTTCAACACCTCTATTAGAAAAAAAATATAGTAATTCTTTTTTTGAGTTTGCAAAATAAAAAGCAAAAAGCTTTTGCATATTTTAAATTCTGCTTCAAGAAAGCTATGCATGACATTTGCCATAATACTACTCTAATGTTGATCAAATTTTTTCACATTCAGCTGCATGTAGTATTACAAAAAACAATTTATTAGCTAATTGACAAATATGGTTTTCATTTTTTAAAAAATTATCCTTAAGAGAAATCCACTACATTATAGAAGATTCATTATCATCTAATAGTATATCAAATAGTACAGTATAGTATCAATAACTTCTTATTTGTGATATTAACATTTTTCTTTCTTTTGGTCTTTTACATATCTTTTCATAGAAATTGTCTGCTGCAAGAATAATATGATAAAATGTTCCTTATACTTATATAATATCTAAATTTATATAAATTTAGCAATAAAATAATATAGATTATGTTATATAAAAAAAAAAATAAATCTCTTACTAATATATTTGAAATGTAAAAAAAAAACATAAAATATATGCATCATTATCAAATTTAGTGAATTTTCTATTAAATACTACAATCAAAGCTCTATTTCATAGATCCCTCGACTGAAATTTACAGAAAGCAAAAAACACAAATAACATCGAAATACACAAGCAAACAGTATTTAGAGCACTAAAGAAAAAG